GAAGTAATATCTTCCATGTTTTTTTTTTTTTTTTGTCTAATCTTTGACTCCATTTGCTTGTACTGCCAGGAGTTAAGACATGCTTATGTTGTAATGCATATTTGGCAGTATACTGTATATATTGCACAGACAAGTTATTCTATGCCGAACATAGCCTGTGTATAACTTTGAAACATCTCCTCTGTTATCACATCAGATAAAGAGAACCACACTTGTGGACAGTCGGACATCTGTGACTGATGTGAAGTTTGCCCCGAAGCACATGGGCTTGATGCTGACCACATGCTCCGCAGACGGTGTGGTGCGAATCTACGAGGCCCCTGACGTGATGAACCTGAGCCAGTGGTCCCTGCAGCACGAGATCTCGTCCAAACTCTCCTGCTCCTGCATCTCCTGGAACCCTTCCAGGTGACAATTCACAAATGATAGTTGAACGCATCTATATGCGAGTAGATGTAAGCATGTACACCTATACTGTTGCAGAATTTACTTTGCAGATGTGTACAATTTGTAACTTTTATATATCCTGTATCTGAAACTCTCAGATAATTGAGATAAAGTTTGAAATAGACTTTTCACAGAAGAGTGAAACCTCTGTTCTCACTATGCCGAGTTCACACTGCACGATTTTAGCCCGATTTTTCACTCGCCGACAGGTTTTGCGAAATCGCCGACAAATGCCCGAAATCGGAGGCAAATCGGTGCTCATTCACGCGAGTGACAATCACGCAGTGTGAATTACCAAAGACGCGATCTGAGGGAATCGCCGACGCCCGTGAAATATTTGGCATGCTAAATATCTGGAGCTGTCGGCGATTCACAATCACCCAGTGTGCGCAATGATTTCTGACTGAAAACTACATCGGAGATGACCTACACTCGCGAGTACTCCGGTCTGACGCACGTGGGTTCTCGCGTTATTTCCTTATCACTTCTCGCGTGTGTTTTGTTGTGAAACGTAGTTTGCGGACCAGACAGAGCTGTCGGCGATTCTTCCTATTGTGAAGTCATGCAATATGTAACCCCCTGTCGCCGATCCATCGTGCAATGTGAACACCGCAGCAACTGAATGCTACCCCAGATAGTCACGCCGTGTGAAAACAACGGCGATCCGACTAGTTTGAAAATCATGCAGTGTGAACTCTGCATTAGACCTGTGACTGCAAATAGCACAGATATTTTACATGCTTGTCACCACTGAACAGTGAGGTCAAACTTGATAGCTGTTAGAAAACATTTCCAAGTTTCTTTTGGCTTTCAAGACATCTCAGACCATTTTTGAGACTTTATTGTCTTGGTAAACTGAATCAATGGATGCACCTGCTTGATTAATAAAATATATTTTGTCTTCACAGTTCTCGAGCTCATGCACCTATGATTGCAGTGGGTAGTGATGACAGCAATGTGACGTATGGCGGCAAAATATATATATAAATAAATAAAATGCAAGGAACATCAACATTTCAGACATTCTGAAGCTGGATTTAGAATGGTGTGAAACTATTGTCACACTGACTTAAGAAATGCCATCAGTTAGCACAAACCATCCACACATATCTTTTATACACATTTTAAATGTGTTTTAACCTTCAAGTTAAATATTTGTTTTTTTTACTTTATTTTCATGGTTGTAGGAAATATGCCAAAGCAGAGACACTGATGACCATTACAGATGCTGTACATGATATTGCATTTGCTTCCAATCTGGGACGGTCTTTCCATGTACTTGCTATTGCCACCAAAGATGTGCGTATCTTCAAACTGGTTCCACTTCGGTGAGCAAAATGAAACCAAGTTATTATTACAGTAGAATGGGATCAATATATGTTGTGTAGTGATGCCATGTATTTGTCTTTACTGTTTAACTTTGTACATCACTGCATCTATACTTTGAATTAATACATTTATTTTAATATTCAATAATGTTAGGGTTCTTTTAATAATGCAAGCTTTTTTCCCCAAATCTTACAATACAGAGATGTTTGGTTAAATTCTAGTTAGATGCCAGTAGATTTACCTCATTTAGCTTGCCTTTTTTTGATTAACAGAAGGGACAGCTCTTCTTCAGCGCCCACTAAATTTGAGGTGCAGGTGCTGGCCCAGTTTGACAGTCATAACTCTCAGGTGTGGCGTGTCAGTTGGAACATCACCAGTACACTTCTGGCTTCCTCTGGTGACGATGGTTGTGTGAGACTCTGGAAAGGTGAGAGTTTGAAATGACAAACAGCGAATATATGCAACTACTGGAGCAGGGGCGTAGATTACGCGGGGGACGCGGGGGACGTGTCCCCCCCCACTTTTAATTTCACGTAAATTCGTCCCCCGCACTTTTTCGGGCAAGTGTGTTCGCATAGAGGTTTTCAAGAGCCGGTGTGAATAAATATAGATTTAAATTCAAAGAGACAGTATAGTCTGTGCATGATCTGATGTTTTATTCGGACCCAGAATAAGGCGAGATGAACATCACGGAGCGCTAAACACTCCGTGCAGTGTATGTTTCATTCATACTCGAAGCCGAAGGGCGCTCTCGCGCAGAAAGTCGTACGAGGAAATGGACAAAAGCGTACAGCTATCCTTTGATGAATAGAAAGTCCAGAAGAACCACATTTAGGCTATAGAAATCTTTTGTAACATTATAAATGTCTTTATCATCACTTTTTGATCAATTTACAGCATCCTTGCTAAAGTGTTGATTTCTATAATTTCTTTTCCAAAAAATAATAATTATACCGACTCTAAGCTTTTGAATGGTATAGTGTATAATGTTACAAAAGCTTTTTATTTCACATAAATGCTGATCTTTGGATCCTTCTATTCATCAAAGAATCCTATCATTTCTGTCCCCCTCACTTCTGAAATGATGGCTACGCCCCTGTACTGGAGTGATATTAATTTATTGTAATTTGACTGTTTCACCAGCAAACTACATGGACAATTGGAAATGCACAGGTATTCTAAAGGGAGATGGTAGTCTAGTATCTGGTCAGCCTGGTGCTCTGAGCGGCGTCCTGGGATCTGCCGCTGCACAGAGTGCTCTAAATGGGGCCACTGGAAGATAGATGCTATATGACAGGACCACCCTGAGGAAATCTGGAGCTGAGCACTTCTATGATACTGGACTTCACACTGAGACCAACTGATTGTGCTTGCTGGACATGCAACAATACTGGCACTTAACACGGGTCCATTGTTAATATTATTTTAATTAACTGCCTTCAAGGAATGTTTTTAAGTTGACTTTTCTTTCAACCTATAGAATTATGTTTTACTCTGAATACAGACTGTTAAACACGCATGGCTTTTTGCCCATTTCAGAATTTTGTAATGAGTCATGTTTAAATGGATGTTCTAATAATGAAAAGACACCATATCTATGTAGGAGTATACATTTTATTTCAGTTTTGTTGACATGATCCACCCTGAGGAAATCTGGAGCTGAGCACTTCTATGATACTGGACTTCACACTGAGACCAACTGATTGTGCTTGCTGGACATGCAACAATACTGGCACTTAACACGGGTCCATTGTTAATATTATTTTAATTAACTGCCTTCAAGGAATGTTTTTAAGTTGACTTTTCTTTCAACCTATAGAATTGTTTTACTCTGAATACCCATTTCAGAATTTTGTAATGAGTCATGTTTAAATGGATGTTCTAATAATGAAAAGACACCATATCTATGTAGGAGTATACATTTTATTTCAGTTTTGTTGACATGATAAAGGAAAAAAGATGCTGCCATTACAACGTTGTAAAATATTGGTCTAATTGACTTCACTCTCTTGTTATTGTACGAGAATCAGAAAGGTTATTGTTTAAGCAACTGGGATATATGAAGTATCCAGAAATATTTGAGCTTGTTTTATTTGAATCATGCGTTTCTACTCCATTAGTAACAGTGCAGTAATCCTTGCTCGATTACTTTTGATAGATGATTTGATTTACATGTATGATCCAAAGTTTCTGTGAAGAAAAGGGGGTAGTTGTATTAAATACCATGGTGTTAAACACTTCAACAGAATTGTTTTCATGTATTATTTATGAAATAGCAGATTGAGTATAAAAGTCTGATTGGGACTTAATAAAAGCTAGAAATGTTCTTAGCACCACAGTCAGTCTAATAATGGATCTTGTTAATATTTTGAAGTAGTGACATTCAAACGTTTTCTCTATAGTTTCTGTGAAGAAAAGGGGGTAGTTGTATTAAATACCATGGTGTTAAACACTTCAACAGAATTGTTTTCATGTATTATTTATGAAATAGCAGATTGAGTATAAAAGTCTGATTGGGACTTAATAAAAGCTAGAAATGTTCTTAGCACCAGTCAGTCTAATAATGGATCTTGTTAATATTTTGAAGTAGTGACATTCAAACATTTTCTCTATTTATTATTATTATTATTATTATTTGGTTCAATAAGTAATATTTTCTACAATTCTTGTAATTGTGCATGAGGACACATATTTTGACCTGCACGCTGGATTTTTGTATATGGTCTTTAAATCAGAATAATTATTTCTAGTCTATATTTTATCATACAGTCCAAATGTGCCGTTTGGTGATCAATGAACGTGTTTAGTAAGCAACGGTCATGTAGGGCTCCCACAGCTGCTCTTAGTCTCAGCTGCTCTGTGGATCACATTTCGCGATCTCGTAGTTTATATGGAACGTCATTTGTGATTACGAAAATATAATTATATAATCATTAAAAAAGGGGGGCTTTAAAATGTTTGAATGTAAGATCTATAAAACCAAATTAAGTGCCTCATGCATTCCGAATTTTTCTGCTCTGTTATTAATTACTAACTGTGAAGTATACATAAAGCAACACTATAACCAGTTTATGAATTAAAAATGTTTTGAACAAACAGTTTCTTCATTCGTTCAAAACACACAGCAACATGATTGACATATGATTTCGCCACTCTGAAAGTAGTCAGAAAGGATTGTCCAATGAAATTCGCCGTTACGTCGAAGCCCCGCCCATGCAAAGTGAAACCAGAGGCGGGATTCTCCCGTAATGGCTTCAACTTCATCTTTGCATTTCGACAAACTTCTCTAAAAGCGGGGAGGCCGCTGTAAGAGCAACGGTTTTTTTTCTTTTTAGCATTTTACGGATTATCGGTGCTGTATTTGCATGAAGTAGTTGAATGAACTACGTTTATAAAGGCACAAGTGCCGCTTTTGCCCATATGGTAAGTTGTCTTCGAAACGAATTCCTCTCAGCTGTTGCAAATCTTGTTCAGAGTTGTTGTCAGTTTAGTTTTCAGCCAACGACAGGCCAAAAAAGTGAGTCTAAGCCAGGGGTCGTTTCTTGTTTAAATTATGTTTTAAGTGTTATTTTTGTCTTTGTTTAACTGTTTAAGTTACGTGGTTGAAGTGTTTGTTTCCTGGCCTTGATAGTCTCCATTGCACGGCGTTTATTTGAGTTAAACAGTCTGTTATCCTTATTTGTCATTTATTTATTCAGTCCATCCAAAAATATTGTTATCCTGCTTTCAGAGACATACTTCAGAGGTTAATGCGCAGTTAAAGTTGTTGGTTATTGAACCGATAAAGCTAGTCTGCTAACTACAAACGTCAGATGAAAGACGCAAATTCTGGAGAAAGAGACAGTCAAGTTCACGAGGTTGATGTAAATGTAATTATTATTCAGCTTAAAGTGTTAAAATGTACTTTGGCCTTTTCTGGTAATGATAAAGCTAAATGCAACAGGGGCTAGCTGCCATATTAACATATTTCAGCTCTACCTGTGGAACAATACGAGTTATTAAACATCCCGTTATGTCTGATTTGACACTGCAAGAAAAATAACATCCTCCAGCTTTTTATTAAGTTGACTTGATGCAGTCGTTTACAGATTCATGGCAGTCTTCTTGTCCGATAAACACCCAAGTACAGCATGACAGTATAATTTATCACCGGTTTCCTAAAGGAACTCATGATGTGGCCAGTTCACTCTGTGTCCTCTTCTGTTTTTTGTTTTTTTTTGTAGGTCACTCCTCATGTGGTGAAGCCCTGTGTCAGTGAATCACACAGACATGGAGAATGTCCAAAACATTGAGGATGAGCCGTTTCCCAGCTTCCTTTCAAACGCCTCGCTGGGCAGTAGTGGCCGCACCACTCTCGGCAACGTGACACTGGGCTCTACACTCGGGATCCCCATGGCCGCCTCTACCATGGCTAAAATTAGACCTCCAGTAGACAACAGGTGGGAGACTCCTGCATGTAATCTCATGAATATTGCGACTGTGTGTCTGTCCTAACTAGGCAAGAATGTTGACTTCCTCAGTTTCCTGTTTGGTGAATATTGTTGAATGTTAAGAAAGGGGTCATTCCATCTCATTTGGTCCAAAAAATTATAAAGTTTGTTGCTTGCCAATTTTTATTTTCCTCCCTTTTGTAAAACACCAAAGTTTTCATTCTTATTTTACTTTGTTTAACCACAGCGGCTATCTTTGTGTCATGGCCCCCTACAAAGTTTTGGTATATAGATTTTTTACGAAAACCTCAATATCTCATCTCAGGATGGTCTGAGCTCCTTGGAACAAGAACTGATCTCTAATACATAGGGATGTAACGATTCACTCAACTCACGATTCGATTCACGATTTAGATTTCACGATTCGATTTGATTCACGATTCTTTTTAAACAAAATGAGATTTAAGACAAATTATAAATTAAATGTGTCCTTTTATTATTGCTTGGACAAAATACTGTACATATATATACTAATATAGCACTTGTAAATTATTGCTCTTTTGTTGGTTTTGATTGCTTCTATTGTCCTCATTTGTTAGTCACTTTGGATAGAAGCGTTTGCTAAATAACAAAATTTAAATATAATGTAAATAACAAAACTTTTAAAATTTTAAAACAAGCCTCAAATCAAATAAGTAACACAAATAAAAGAAATCTCTTCATATAAACAAAATAAACAGATATTTCCTGAAAAGTTATCCCTTAATTCTGATTGTTTAATTGGAATGTTGTTCCAGGATCAACAAGGATGTTGATCCAGGAACATGTTGTAATTGGTGAAATCACGGTCACTATATAGGGGAATCTGAACCCTAAACACGTTATGTCAAAAATGCCGGTTAATAAAGGCCTTCTGAAGCGACGCGATGCGCTTGTGTAAGAAAAATATCCATATTTACAACTTTATAAACCTTAATCTCTAGCTTCCGCTAACTGTAGTACGCGCGTTCACGAGAGAGTGCCGTGCTAGTCTCGCGAGAAACAAGTTTTGTTTACAGCAAAGAAAAACCAGTGTCCTCTTGGCTTATATTGAAATCCTCCAACATTTTTCTTTACAAATCCTCGTTTTGTACTACTAATTCGTGACCGGTGTTTCCCTCTCTCCTCTGCGCTTCCACGCTTGTCACTTCCGCATTCATCACCGTGTTTGCCTACGTGCTACGTCTTCCGCTGGATGCCACTCTCTCGTGAATGCGTGTATGACAGTTAGCGGAAGCTAGAGATCAAGGTTTATAAAGTTGTAAATATGGATATTTTTCTTACACAAACGCATCGTGTCGCTTCAGAAGGCCTTTATTAACCCCCCGGAGCCGTGTGGACTTCTTTTATAATGGATACTCAGTCACACAATTTTTACAAGGCATGTGACAATGTGATACGTGCATCTTCCCAAATAAGTAATTAGAATAATTTATATACGTGCATCTTCCCAAATTATAATGAGAATAATTTATAAATCTGCTGCTGTCAACAAAAAGAAGCACTGAGGACTTCCTGCGGGTTTCCATCAAAATAAAAGCTCCATCAACATTCATAAATGTTAGTATTGTAATTTTACTGTTGTTCTGTTAAATAAAATTAAAAAGACAATAATAATAATGATAATAATTACAACAGCTCTATTAATACATTTATTACAACAGTCACACATAGTGTTCAAATTGGGATCTGTAATATTTTCTAATGTTTTAAAAGAATTCTCTTCTGCTCAGCAAGGCTGCATTTATTTGCATGCCTGATTCAAGAAGGGGGTCTCAAAAATGGCCACAAAATGTTTTTTTTACTTATTAATTTTAAGTTATTGTGCTTTGTTGGTATAATGTCTGCTAGAATGTAAAAAAAATGTTCAGTGTTAAATAAGTAGTTTTAAATTGTTGTTTTGTATTAGTGTACAATGTTTAAAAATAATAATTTATTCCATGTAGTGTTCATTCATTTAACATTTTAATATTGGAGGCATCCAAGTTATTTGACATTTGAACTTTTTTTATTTTTTTTTTTTTGCTAATTGAGAAATGACTTGAGGCATGAAACATTTCAGTAAGTTGTACTTTTTCTTTGATATTTTATGATATTTACTTAATGAGTGTGAGTGCAATTGTTTGTATTTTGCTATGATTTATTATTAGTATTATTATGGAGTGTTTTGTTTTGAGTGTCATATTTAATACATAAGGCTTATATGGTTCATATTGGTTTATATCGGAGAATGTGGAGCTCACACTCAAATTTCATTATAAAATTGACAGAATTTGAAAACTTAGACTTTTTCATATTAAAAGTAACAAATCACAAAGCTTTTGTAATTTTGAAAGGCATGCTACAAATAATGTTTAGTGAAGTTTTGTTCTAACATCAACTGAAAAGATCTCGGCTCATCAAAACAAAGATCGACCCTAATCTGACCCTAAAAATTAAATTGGAAAATTAAAAATGGTCAACCAACATCCATTGAACCACTTGAGGCAGACCCAAAGTTGTTCTTTCAAAGAGGGAGAACATTTATTTACCACGTGAGTTGTTGGTCAAAATACTAGTGCTTTATTTTATTTTATTACACTGCTCTGTGGAATACTTGATTCTGATTGGTCAGTTGCGACATTCCGAGGTTTGTTATCCCTCGATATCAGCCGGTAAAAACTAATAGCACAGGATCATCCAGGTAACTGAAATCGGCGCTGTACTCTTGCCAGGAACAGTTTTTTCTTGGTGGAAGCTTTGCGTTTGTTTAGCTAATAAAATATTAAAACTCTATTCAAAATTGTATACAATTATTTAATTATGTCATCCTGTTATCGCAGACTCGCTCTCTCGTTTCATACAAACGCAGCTGCTGCCATTTTGCTACGATAGTTTTGTACGCTGTAATGGATTATAAGATAACTAACAAACTGGTAAGATTTTAAAACCATTTCGTCTTAAATCTTTTATTTTATTTATGTGGTGAAATGTTGTGTAATAAGTGGTATGACTGCACCGTATCCCTTAAATGTCCGTCTAGTTTAAACTTGCTGCTTGCTCGCAACTGCTGTGTTCACGGAAGCTTTGCTTTCAAATATTTCAACTCAAATCAATATTTCGTGTCTAATTATTTACTTGTGTGGCAAGTAGCCATGTAATAAGCGGGATAATGTATATCCAGCCGGTTATCACAGAATAACCCCCGACAGGGTGGTCAGGACCCCGACGCGAAGCAGAGGGCTGGATGTTCATTATCCCTTACTTATTGAGTGATTGGTCGGTTAGAAATTTTGAGATTGAAATGGTTCGCAAGGCTAGCTCATTAAGTTCAGGGCACACATGCTTTACTTGTATTGCTGCCAACTTAATACATTTTGTCTGTTTATTTGAGGTATTTGTGTTATTGAATCCATTTTGTCTTTTCCAGAGTAACTGATGTCCAAGCATCATATTTAGAGGATGGACAGTTTTCCCAGGGGTCAAATGGAGGCAGGGAAAAATTTGTTCTCAGCCTCAAAGAGGATTTGTAAGTGTTCAGCAATTGTTTATTATTTTTTCCATCTGCCAGTAAGTGAGCGACAAATCAGTGTGACCATCGGTTCTTTTCTGGTTTATTTTTTAGTACTTGTACTACCTAGTTATTGTTCTTGCAATAGTTTCCTCTAGTGCAAATAATCTGCAAGTACCTGCCAGTTTTAAAGGGGTCCTATTATGCTTTTTCACTTATTCGACTTTAGTTAGTCTGTAATGTTGCTGTTTGAGCTTTGTATCTTTGCAGATCTTTTTTATGCTCAAAGTCCAATACAAAAGGAGATATTTTATTTAACAGAAATCACTTTTCAAAAACTACAACGAACGACTTGTTTGGACTACAACGCATATTTTCCGGGATTTGTGATATCACAAATATTGACGAACGGGACGAGACCTGGTTGAGCTGCACTAGAGAAGGCAACGAGTGTTATCACTATGTCGGAGACACGTTAGCTTTTCCAAGGCAGACGAACTTAGAGTAGTTACAATCATCCAGGTTTAAATCGCGCTCAAAATGATTTGATATTGACGCAATATTTACACTGAAGCGTGCAGGCGGCTATGGTAAGGGGCGTGACATTTCCCGACCAGGCGCCGAGTGGTGCCAATCACAACACACACTGGCCCAGCTAACCAATCAATCAACACACTGGCCCAGCTAACCAATCACAACACACACTGGCCCAGCTAACCAATCACAACACACACTGGCCCAGCTAACCAATCAATCACAGCACATTTCGTATTTCAGAAGGCGGGCCTTCATTTGATACAGGAACTATTCGAGCCGTTCATGCCAGACTGGGGAGAGAGGTGTTGTAATAATGTAAAATATGTGAAAAAATTGTGTTTTTTGAACAACCTAGTATGAGAGCCTGTTCTAGTACACCCCCAAAACAAAATCAAGACTTTGTAAAAGAGCATAATAGGACCCCTTTAAGATTAATGGTGTTGACTGTGCCTACTTGAGAATTGACAGAACTGCTATTTTCCTATTTTGTCAACAAACAACCTTATCATTGGGTAAAAAAAAATTCTTAAAATTTCAATAAGTTCATATGACTTCAGCTATTTTGTCTTGTTTTCCTTCATGATGTTATGTTATGCAGGTTTGCATTTTAACATTTTATTTGCCATCAGCCAGATCTAGGTTATTGGGAAAAACCTGTATTGGTTGACCAAGTGTGTTCTTTCATTAGTAGTCGTTCGTGCCAGACTGGGGAGAGAGGTGTTGTTGTAATGTAAAATATGTGAAAAATAATGTGTTTTTCGAACAACCTAGTATGAGAGCCTGTTCTAGTACACCCCCAAAACAAAATCAAGACTTTGTAAAAGAGCATAATAGGACCCCTTTAAGATTAATGGTGTTGACTGTGCCTACTTGAGAATTGACAGAACTGCTAGTTTCCTATTTTGTCAACAAACAACCTTATCATTGGGTAAAAAAAAATTCTTAAAATTTCAATAAGTTCATATGACTTCAGCTATTTTGTCTTGTTTTCCTTCATGATGTTATGTTATGTAGGTTTGCATTTTAACATTTTATTTGCCATCAGCCAGATCTAGGTTATTGGGAAAAACCTGTATTGGTTGACCAAGTGTGTTCTTTCATTAGTGTGTTTTTTTGTGTGTGTGTTTGTGTAGAGACAATGTAGATGAATTCATTGCTGCGAATCGGTTCTCTGACCTGTTGGTGAATGTTAATTTGGATGAAACTCTTCCTCTCTTCCTTGGTTCTCTTCCTCTTCGGACTACTGGTATGTAATCAGTTTTTTTTTTATTATTTTTATTTAATTAAGGTTGGTTGTCTTTTAATTTTATGGTAAAACTAATGTGTCTTATTGATAGTGCATAATTGACAATTATTTACAAAATAGTGAATATGTATAAGCTGAATGATATATTTTGAAATATATATTTTATATTTCATTAGACCTCTCAACTGGTCTTCTGTCATTCTCTCATATTGGAGACAAAGATACATTGGCAGCTCAGGTATCTTAATTTTTTGTACTCATTGACACTTGTTTTGTCCTGTTGAGTGGTCTTTCAATGCTATTTAACCCTGTAAAACCTGACATGAAATAATAGTCAGAAAAAAGTTTTATTTATTTATTTTTTTATAATATTTGTATGTCCAGAAAGTAAGATGAAATTATGATAGCTTGTAATATAAACCAAGGAGCTCTTTGTAACAGTGTATCAGACTACTTATATAAAATGCATATATGTATCAGTTGTCTCTCTATCTGCCAATAATATGTCTTAGTAAGGTGATGGATTAAATACTTAGTTTTATAATAAAAGCTCTACAGGTTTTATTGTGAGAGCAAAACTTATAATGCAAAGCAAAATGATTGAGAGATGTACAAACAAACACTATCATATTTTGAAATATTACTAACAATATAAAATGTATTCATGTTTACTACATAAAAATCGTGTAAAAAGACATGTACCACAACTTGAAGATGGGCATTTTTAGAATTATACTAGGCCTGTAGTAGACTGTGTACAACAGGATTTTCAGCAAAGTTTTAATCATGTTTATAATTTAGAGGCCTTTAAAATTTACCTATCAAATATCATATGGTAGGCATCATAGGGTTAAGCTCTCTTCTGTTCTTCTTAGGTCACTGTGCTCCCAGTGATGGAGGAGGAAGAGGAGGGCTCCGCTAGTGAAGGGACAGACAGTGAAAGGTACAGTGGCAGCATCGTCAGCTTCCTGGCCAGTGAGAAATTGGTGTCTCTGGACAGCATGAACAGTGACATAACAGGTTAGTTCATTTTTTTAAATTATATTATATGTTACGAAAAGCTTGGAAGCTCAAAAGAACCAAGGCAGTAATTGATTTAAATTAACTTTTTGTCCTCTAGTTTTTTTATAATATTTGTATGTCCAGAAAGTAAGATGAAATTATGATAGCTTGTAATATAAACCAAGGAGCTCTTTGTAACAGTGTATCAGACTACTTATATAAAATGCATATATGTATCAGTTGTCTCTCTATCTGCCAATAATATGTCTTAGTAAGGTGATGGATTAAATACTTAGTTTTATAATAAAAGCTCTACAGGTTTTATTGTGAGAGCAAAACTTATAATGCAAAGCAAAATGATTGAGAGATGTACAAACAAACACTATCATATTTTGAAATATTACTAACAATATAAAATGTATTCATGTTTACTACATAAAAATCGTGTAAAAAGACATGTACCACAACCTGAAGATGGGCATTTTTAGAATTATACTAGGCCTGTAGTAGACTGTGTACAACAGGATTTTCAGCAAAGTTTTAATCATGTTTATAATTTAGAGGCCTTTAAAATTTACCTATCAAATATCATATGGTAGGCATCATAGGGTTAAGCTCTCTTCTGTTCTTCTTAGGTCACTGTGCTCCCAGTGATGGAGGAGGAAGAGGAGGGCTCCGCTAGTGAAGGGACAGACAGTGAAAGGTACAGTGGCAGCATCGTCAGCTTCCTGGCCAGTGAGAAATTGGTGTCTCTGGACAGCATGAACAGTGACATAACAGGTTAGTTCATTTTTTTAAATTATATTATATGTTACGAAAAGCTTGGAAGCTCAAAAGAACCAAGGCAGTAATTGATTTAAATTAACTTTTTGTCCTCTAGATGATGACATTGATGTGAACCAGCTCTGTGATGAGGAACTAGAGCTGTATTTCAACAAGCTGATGCCACCTGCAATGCAGAGAGGCAGAGTAGAAGGACAAGAAATCCCTGTTGTGAGTTCTCTCTTGCTGTTTGTTTACCAAAGCTTACCCTTTTTCTTTTTTAATATGATCTGTTCCTGTTGTAGGAGTTACCTTCCAGTTTATCTCAACCCCCCTCTACTGAACCAGAAAGGAACAGACACCATGATGTTGACTATGACCAAGTATGAGTTAAAATCCTAAAATCAGAATCGCATGCACGTTTTACACATGCATATTGTTCCAAAGAAAAAATTAATTTGAATCTTATATAGAGAGAGAGAGAGAGAGGTGTGTGTGTTTGTGTTCTGAAACCTTTCAGGTAATGTTTGCTCTTGCTGTGTCACACCACAGAGGGACTTTCACATGCCTGATGTGCGTCTGGCAGCCACAGGTATGGATTCTTGTCCTGCAAGTGATGAAGAGGACACAGAGGATGAACTAGAAGCGTCACAGAACCGGGGCAGAGCAAGATTCCTCCTACCCAGCACCTCCAGACAACCGGTTAGTGTTACAGTAGACTACTTTCTGCTCTTATTGTTGTCTGTGCTTTTTATTTTTGCCAGATTCAAACATCACAAATTATTATTTTGTAATGCAGTAATTCAATTTCAAATATTTGTATATGATCAGGTTGGGGAGAGCCATCGGCCCCATTTTCGACCAGGGTTGGAAGGAGGGAGCTCTGATGATGAGCTACAGTCGGGAGGGAGGAACCCTGACACCAGGACAGGCATTGAGCACCGCCGCTCGGCAGAGGGACAGGTCATCAACTCACCTATTACTGGTAAAAGAGTGTTTATTAAATAAAATAAATGTATGTAATTAGGGTTTTTGGTTTAAAAATTTAGACTGACAGGAAGTCTTATCAGTGATTCTCTGTGCCATCAGGTGATGGAGGAGGAGGAGGAGGAGGAGGAGATGGGAGTAGTGGGAGTGATGAGGAGGGAAATGGAGGCGTATCTACCATTCCTTTGCCTCCCACCACAGTCCAGAGCACCTATGATGTGCTTCGTGGTCTTGGCATCGTGGGTGGGAGTGAACAGATGGGAAATGATGATCAGCTTCAATCTTTGCTCAGCAGATCGGGCATGATTACACATGGCCATGTTAGTGGCATTTGAGCAATTAATAATGATCAGTGTGAAATTGTATCTTTTTAAACAACAAGAACATGCCATTCAGTTTTGGGGAAGTTACTTTAAAATGGGAAGGGTAGAAAGACGCATCACAGCGTCAAAGATACATTACAAGCCAACTAAAAAATACACTGAACAAAATTATAAACGCAACACTTTTGTTTTTGCCCCCCTTGTTCATGAGCTGAACTCAAAGATCTAAGACTTTTTCTATGTACACAAAAGGCCTATTTCTCTCAAATATTGTTCACAAATCTGTCTAAATCTGTGTTAGTGAGCACTTCTCCTTTGCCGAGATAATCCATCCACCTCACCGGTGTGGCATATCAAGATGCTGATTAGACAGCATGATTATTGCACAGGTGTGCCTTAGGCTCACATTTTAGAGTGGCCTTTTATTGTGGGCAGCTTAAGGCACACCTGTGCAATAATCATGTTGTCTAATCAGCATCTTGATATGCCTCACCTGTGAGGTGGATGGATTATCTTGGCAAAGGAGAAGTGCTCACTAACACAGATTTAGACAGATTTGTGAACAATATTTGAGAGAAATAGGCCTTTTGTGTACATAGAAAAAGTCTTAGATCTTTGAGTTCAGCTCATGAAAAATGGGGGCAAAAACAAAAGTGTTGCGTTTATAATTTTGTTCAGTATAGCTAACTGCATACATATGATAATCCCTTAAAAAGCTTCAAGGATAATTCAAAATGTGTACGTATATTATTAGTGTTTGTTTATTTGTGCATATCCTAGCATAATTACACAAAGCACAGCACAATTACAGATTGTATTTTAACTAGAGATGCACCGATTTATCGGCCCATCGGCTGATTCCGAGCCGATCCTTTTATTGCTAGCGGCGCCGGCAATGACGTCACAGATGCGCACATTCACAATGCGTGTAAAAATGTCGTTTCGCGTGGGAATGATTCTAATTTTAATTGCATTCAGTGTAAACGGCTACTGATAATGTATTTATGTCGTGCCAGATGAGGCTTGCACAGCCTGAGTGAGTGTGTGAGAGACAGCACACACAATTAAGTGACTCGCAGAAATTTATAGAGGCATACTGCGGTAGAAAAAAAAAAGATATTTACAAAATATGATTTAGGTAAGCAACATTATACGGCCATGATGTTTCCCCGAATATCAATATCAACATGATTGCAATGTGACACTGATTTTATACAATAGTATTTCAATAAACAAGAAGTTAAAATTAAGTGACAAAATATTGACTGTTTTTGCTCAATTTCGCTGACGAAAATAGTTCCGATCAAAGCCACAGCTGGACTGTTGTGTGTCTCCGAGCAACACACAGTGGTGTTTCCTTACTGAATGAATCCACGTATTTGAACGAATCGAGTGAGTCAATGATTCAGTGGCCCATTCATAAGGACAGTCACTTGCCTCGTTTCTGAATGAATCAGCCGTTTGAATGAATCGGTTGAATGAATGAATAAATGACTCGCTCATTAAAACCGACATTTGCCGCCACCTACTGGTGGTTTTGTCATATTTAAAAGTATCATTGCATTTTTTCAATATTTGTATGTTTAAAAAATATGTAAAACATTAATTTTATAAAATTATTTTTTTAATAATAATTTTGCAGTGTAAATGCATTTATGGCACCTCAGCTTCATCAAACTGTCTGTGTAAATGCATCTAATGCCACTTCAGATGCATCTTCTGTTTTCTCAGCAGTGGTAAGATGGAGTTTGTTAATACTAATTTCATTTGAATGGTAACAACTCTACAGTTTCTTATTATTCTAACTGGAGAGAAAATGTGTAACTTAGTCCAGATTGGGGGAATTGTAATGTTTAATAATTTATTTTATTATGTAAATAATTTTTGCATTGAAATTTGCATAGATTTTTGTTTGTATATGCTGTCAATTATAGTTCTTAGAAAGAAAATCGGTATCGGCAGGTCACACTTCCAAAAAATCGGAATCGGCCAAGAAAATTGCAATCGGTGCATCTCTAATTTTAACTTCGTTTTGATCTTTTCAGATGGGTGATCGTGTTGGTCCAGTTGGCACAGGGGAGGCTGGTCATACTTCTGTGGCATCTGGACCTGCCAGTCGATGCCCAGTTAATTGGAGCATGAATCTGGATCGACAGGAGGCTCTTGTAAGTCTTTGTCCATATTTTTGCTGTAGCAAAAATTGTTGATGATACCCTTAACACTTTTCCACTTAACAGGATGCAATGGATAACACAGCAGAAGTTCACCTGGACTCTGTATACTTGAGGGCAGGTGCTGATCACAACCCTCAGGGCATTTCTTCCACAATCAGCCCCTTCCTTCAGGGCACCCAGAGCAGTTTCCACCTCTCTCAGGTACTTCAGGAATCACATAATAAAACAGAGCAAGCGATCGACCTGGGCCATACTGTGGATCTCGGTGCCCTGGGCTTGCGTGGTGGCCCTTGTGGGGATTCTCCAGTTCTCAATGAGCAGCAGAGCACCAGCAGTAAAGACGATCAACCTGGAGAGTCTCTGGATGCTAGGTACCTTTCCCAGAGCTTTAATGAGAATCATGAAGAACATGATGTTTGGAATCACCATACAGACAATGTGGGGCTTGAGTTACAGCAAGGTAACAGTCTTTTTCTTCCATTTCTAATGTACTGATGTCAACGGTTTCTCTGACATTTGTAGTATTACATGAAGTATTCAAAATAGTATTTGTATTTTATGATCTACAAATTAATGTTCAGTATTTCCTTAGGCGCAAATGCCACTCAAAGTGTGGTCTACCAGAATGAAGAGGGAAAGTGGGTCACTGATTTGGCCTATTACTCTTCCTTCGAAAAGGAAATGGAAGCAAATATGCCTGAGGAAGTTGCTATGCCGTTTCAGTCTGAAGATTTTCTTGCTGGAAGTAAGTGAAATGCAGTAATGTTCTCATTCTTAATGAAAATTAGTTTTTGGGTTACCATTCCTCAACTGACTCAACCTCGTGCATTTTTGAAGAATATGGCACTTTTTCAATAGTTCACCCAAAAATGAAAATTACCCCATGATTTACTCACCCTCATGCCATCCTAGGTGTATATGACTTTCTTCTTTCAGACGAATCCAATCGGAGTTATATTAAAAAACGTCCTGGCTCTTCCAAGCTTTATAATGGCAGTGAATGGGTCTTCTTTTTTTTTTTCAGTAGTCCATAAGAAATCCAGTAAAGCGCATCCATCATCATAAAAAGTGTCCCACACGGCGCCGGGGGGGTTAATAAAGGAAAAAATTCCTGTAGTGAATCAATGCGCTTGTGTAAGAAAAAAAATCCATATTTAAAATTTTATAAACTGTAATCACTAGCTTCTGCTAACTGTTGTACATGCTCGTATTCACAATAGAATGTCGTTCCGGCGGATGACATAGGACGTAGGCGTAGCGTAAGTTCCGGTCAGAATATGCTTGTCTCGCGAGAACCAATGTTTGTTTACAGGAGCAAAGGAAGCAAAGTTTCCTTACTTCAGCAAAGGAAAACCAGTCTCCTCTTGGCTTATATCGAAATCCTCCAATATTTTTTACAAATCTTCGTCTTGTAATTCGTGACCAGTGTTTTGTTTTGCTCTCTATGCTGCGCTCCCGCATTGATGTTACTTTGAATAAAAGCATCTGCCAAAGGCATAAATGTAAAAGAATTACCCAAGCCGTATTATAGATTTGTGTGAGGATTGGATAAAAATGTAAGTTATTCACTAAAAATCTTGAAATTTAGCTTTACTTGACCTTTTAATTAAAGAAATAGCAATGTCCAATTTGTTCTTTTGAGTCGAACCTTGTTGATTCATTTTACAAACCCGAATGATCTAAATGATGCTTTTTGAAGCTTAAGCCCCAGTCCCCATACATTGTAATTGTCTGGCAGTTATTTAGTTTCTCCTGTTGTATTTGACTGGTGAAAGGCAGTCATGTGTGTTTGTAGCAACATTAAGATGAGTAAATTGACATATTTTTGGATGAGCTAATACTAATTTATATTAATTCTGTCATTGCTTTCCATTGCATAATGTTGTCTTCCCTTAGGCCAGGCCATGGACAAGATAATTGAGGATCAGAAGGATTAAAAAGTGTATAACTATCTGTATATAAAAACAATAGAAGTCTATGTAATGTCCCCATTTAAATAGCTAAGTAAGTGTGTGTGTGTGTGTGTGTAAAAAATAGTATAGCAGTCTGGCGAGTAAACAAAAAAAAATTACTAGCCAATGGCGATTATATTGCCAAGGTGTGCGTAGAGGGTTGACTAGCCCTTTTATGAAAGTGAATGCAGATTAAAAGCATTCCTGTAACTCAGTCGGCAGAGCATGTCACAAGCAATACCAAGGTCATTGATCTCCAGGGAATGCATGAACTAATAAAATGGATTCCTTGAATGTGATGTTACTTTGAATAAAAGCATCTGCCAAAGGCATAAATGTAAAAGAATTACCCAAGCCGTATTATAGATTTGTGTGAGGATTGGATAAAAATGTAAGTTATTCACTAAAAATCTTGAAATTTAGCTTTACTTGACCTTTTAATTAAAGAAATAGCAATGTCCAATTTGTTCTTTTAAGTCAAACCTTGTTGATTCATTTTACAAACCCGAATGGTCTAAATGATGCTTTTTGAAGCTTAAGCTCCAGTCCCCATACATTGTAATTGTCTGGCAGTTATTTAGTTTCTCCTGTTGTATTTGACAAGTAACGTCATTGAAGACCTCACCTCACAAACCCAGGACAACAGGAGAATGGACAGACAAACCTGCCATTAACCAGGCACGTTCACCCAGAAACCCTAAAGCCACTCAGTCGTTTTTAAAGGAGAAAATTGCAGCTGTTGATGGTCAGGATTCACTGCCAGCAACACAGGAGAAATTCGGTATGCCTTTTTTAAAATTTTTAATTTTTTTTTTTTTTGTTGCATACAAAACCAGCAATATGACAGATTTAGCATGTTAAAATCAGCATGAAATGAGAATTCACTCCATTTTCTAGTTTCTTATTGTGAATGTTTTCATCTTATAAAAAAAATTGACCTTAGGGCTGCACAATTATGACAAAAATCATAATTTGATTATTCCCTTTAAATAATAGTAATTGCGACGATTACACATCATATAATCACAATTTATCGAATTATGTTTATACCATTGTTTGAAGCAACCGCATGCCATATTTTTAGATGAAAATAAACAAGCTTAAAACACTATGAAAAACTTTTATTGCTTTTCTATAGTATTAATCCTCAAATGTAAACTATACATTACCATACAAGTAAAAATATGCATGGTATTATAATGTTATACTAAAACTAAAATTAAAACAATGGAAAAACCCTAAGATAACATGTAGGAAAAAACACACCTCTTAAGCACAAAGAATAACATAAGTGGGCTTTGAACACCGCTTTTTTGAATTGCTGCTTTGAACGATTACGTAATTGTGGTATCTGTAATTGTAATCGCGATTAGAAATTTGATGAATTGTGCAGCCTTAATTGACCTCATAGTTTTTCATCAGTGTCAATTTTTCAGATGAATTCGGGCTGTCAATTTAATTTAGTTTAATGGTCCATAAGTCTCACTTCAGACTGTTTTTGTAATGTATGTGCAAAGGTTTTATCTGCCACAATGTCATATCTTTGAGTTATACTCATTTGTGGTGTTTTCTCCGCACATATTAATGGGATTAATGGCATATCATATAATTTGCTTTAATTGACAATCCTAGTTTATTACACTTATTTTAGTGTTTTTGTTTACTGTTTTGTTTAGTGTTTTTGTTCTGTTTGATCTCTTGTCTGTGCTTAAATATGCCTGAACATCATGCAAGTTTCAGAAAATTAGGGACATCAACTTTATTTACTTTTTATTGGAGGCTCACCTGAGAGCAGTGCCCCTGGTGTTGTGGAGGTCACCCATTGTAATTTCAGACCATCCACCTCCCCTCTTACCCACTCCAGTCCAAGCCAGGCCTCCATTCCAAGTGGAAATGGGTAAAAAAAAATTGTTTCTGAACATCATCTAATAGAATAGCTGATTACCTTTTTTGTGGTGTTAGCCACTTTCATTTGTGAAATATGGTGGGGGTAGACAAGATTCTCGTTTAAAAATATTTTTTTTTTTTAATGATTGATTATTGTTGATCAACCGTATGTTACTGTGTAACGTATTTTAAATATATTTGTTGTTCAGTACATGGATAAATAATGGCCTAATTTTACACTCATCCATGTGTTTTGAAAATAGGGAGACGTCTCCGTGCTCACCTGGTAGTGGGAAGGCTCATAGGAGTCCTGCTGGAGATCCTGGTTCCCCTCAGTTTCATTGTTCAAGCCCATCCCTCAGCAGACTGACTTATCTCTCCATTAATGAGAACACTTTCATGCCCACCCCTGATCACCATAAGGTGAGCGTTTAAACCCCCTTTTTAGTTTTATGTGAATTACAATATAAACTAATTAGATATTTAGGAAGTGAAGGTGTTGCTGAAAAACTTGTTGTATCATATTTGATACATTTTAACACAATTAAAAAATAAATAAGTTATTCTTACTTTTACTTTATAAAAATCATTAAACATTTCACAGCAAAAATCCATGTGTACCACAACCTTAAGGGAGACTTTTTAGAATTATACTTTTACTTGTTAAAAGACCTTTGCAATATTTGAGTAGATGTTTAGCTGTTGCTTTATCAAATGCACGTTATAAGCGGGGAGGCGTTCCTCATCTCAGTGCATAGACTCACAGACATACAAACAAAGCCAATTGGTATAGAAATAAAATGCACACAAATTATTTAAATGCAAAACTGGAAAAAAAGCAATTCACAAGCACTTATTGAACCGTGGATGCCATACTGAATGGTTCAATATTATATTGGGTATTGTGGCATCCCTACTTTCTAGATGTTAGCATTGGCCTCTGGTCTGTTATCTTATTTTGTGTGCCAAATATATTTATTTGAATTGTAATTTTATAATAGTAATATAATTTGGTTACACTTTATTTTAAGGTGTCCTTGTTAAAGTGTAATTATACATTTTGGTTACACTTTATTTTAAAGTGTACTTGTTAAAGTGTAATTATACATTTAAGTACTGAGTAATATTAATTAACTGCATGTACTTACTATATGGTAAGGGTTAGGATTTGGCTTATGGTTACTGCATGTAAATATGCATGATTAATTGTTATTATAATAGTAAGTACATGTAACGTGTGTAACAAGGACACCTTAAAATAAAGTGTTACCTATAATTTAATAAAAAATATAAAAGTATAATAAAATTTAAAATATAATTTTCTTTTTTCTTTTAGTTAGAATATGCTAAACTAAATATTTTAACTAATTTCAAAAGCTGGATAATCTATAAAAGCCTACTGATCAATAGTTTAAATCAATAATTAGTTGAATAAGCATTCTGATAATTGTTAGACTAATAGATTATCAAAATAAATGTGTGTTGTAGCCCTATTGGAAGCCTATGTTGCTTGACCATTATATGATATTGATAGTAATGCTGCTGATTTACTTTATGGTTTTAATGTACAGACAAATCTTTTCTGCTTCTCCAGAAAAACACCTCCATGGCTTTAAGCACCACTATAATCAGAGCCAGTCCAACTCCTCCAGTGGAGCCGTTTGATAATGGAAATGTTCTGAGTTCTTCAAAGAGTCCAGAGCCTCTTTGCCATTCTGAAATTCCAGGCCTCAACAAAAAGACCTCTGATCTGGGCTCAGGCAGCCAAAGTGACTTCCATAAAGACTACGGAAATAGATACTCTAAGGGCAACCGCCAATCTGAGCCGAGGTTGTACCCTCAAGGGGATTCTGGATACTCGAGCAAACTGAACATGCAACATTCATCTGGGACAGCCACAGAACAGGCACACCAAGTGTTGCCTGATGTCTTGGGGTCTGGGTCTAGTTTTGGCGCTGCGGATGACTTGACATATGGGCCAGTACCGAGCTACACCTCTCAGGGTGCCTTGCCAAATCTTCCCAACCACCTAACAGGGCATTCCCTCTTCAGTTCCCAACTGGCACAGCAGTATCTGAGCTTAGAGGGGCCTCTACATGCTCCTCCCTATCAGATAGGTGGGCCATCTGGTTTGTATGCTGCAAACCCATCTATGGGACATATGCTTGTACCTGGGCATACAAGTCTTCAGTCTGGTTACCTGAACTCCGGTCAACAGCATCCTCCTCAGTATCCAGTCAGCAAGACCTATGGACAGCCAAGTGTTGGGTCATGGGCTGCACGGGATCTTGCAGACCTTAGAAGTGAGTGGAAAAAAATCATGTATTTTAAAGACTTTGGTGTTATGAAGGAATTTGTTCAAAGGAAGAAAAAAAACGTTTTTCTTCAGCTCAAGTGATGGTTCCAAATGAGCTGAAGTTTCCCAGTTCTTGCTGTGTGGGAATTGCTTCTCAGACGTCCCTCAACATCTTCAACCCTTCTGAGCGCTGGCAGCAAGTTTCAATCTCCATCACAAGCCTATCCATTGATGGAGAGAAGGTTCAGAAATCTGTCAGATGTAGTCTAGACCAGTGGTTCTCAACAATCTGGCACACTAGGGGGGAGGGGGGGCTTTAGATATGGTCTTGCAGTCAGAAAGAATTAGAACCACTGGTCTTATGGAGATGTCTTATTCATTCAGTCAACATCTGTATGCAGTATTATAATTGTCATTTTATCACAGGTGGAGTCTCTCCCATTCCAATGGCTGATAGTTAAAAATAAGACCATAATTGGACCCAAATGTACAGAAGAACAGAAGGTTTTGTTTATAGCACCAAGGGCTGGACTGTATCAGTATACTCTCAGTGTGTCATCCTGGCCTGTATCTGCAGAGTCAGAGACTGTGGCGCACGCAGAAGTCTTTGCAAAGAAAGTGGTGCTGATCGCTGTGGCTGAGAACCCTGCGATAGAGGTTAGCATTACCTTTGTCCTTGGCTGTTGCCAGTTTCAGAGCACTAAAATTGCATATAAACTAATTCCCTGTAGGTTTAATCCATGTGAAATGTGCAAAAATAACAAATGTTTATTTATTTTTTCTTTTAAATAAATAGGTTGACGTTGGAAAGACAGGCTGTCTGGATTTCGGGGACCTGCCGGGGGGCAGTACCAAGGCCCTGCCGCTCAAACTTGTCAATGGTAGTCATGCCACCGTGCCTATTCGACTGGTTATCAGTGCGGTCAGTGAAATCTGTCAGCGTTTGGTTTTGAGAAATGTGTTAAACATTAGTTGTGTATGATGTACTTCTCTGTGTATGAGATGTCTGACTGATAAAGCTCAGACCTCATTCAAAGGCATGTTGAACAAATTCAAGGACAAAGGTTTTGTCTCTCACAGAATGCATCAGCATGGCATTGTTTCGGCTTCTCTAAGAGCCCAGTTGCCATGATCACAGACGGTTCCCTGCATACTGGCTTAAATCTGACCTCGCTTTCAACTTCATCAGTCATAAACCATGTGCTGCATGCCAGTTATGCAGAGGTGAATATCTCTTTAAATTGCTTTCTTATTTGATGGCATATTTGACTGTTTAAATACTTGTCTTATTTTTCCTTCAGAATCAAGAAAGCTTCTTGGTGTGGGTTCATTTCAGTGCACCTCAGAAATACATTTCAAGTTCAGGTATGCATGTAAACCTAAAAACTAGACACAAGTTGAGAAGTGTTCAGCCTATATCAGTGTTATTTGATGGTACTATAATTGTACTATAATAGTATCAGTGATATATTATAGTAGTAGAGAGATTTTGATTTTTAAAGGGGTCATATGATGCGATTTCAAGTTTTCCTTTCTCTTTGGAGTGTTACAAGCTGATTGTGCATAGATAAGATCCCTGAAGTTGCAAAGACTAAAGTCTCAAAACCAAAGAGATATTCTTACTCTGCCATGCCCCCCTAAAACGGCTCGTTCTAACACACCCCACATATCTAC